CCAGTACGCCCATACCAGGGCATACCGCCTGCAACCCACCACTGGTTGATCTCCTCTAGGACTGACCAGTTTGATCGCCTTGCAGTCCAAGGAACTCACAGGAGTCTTCTCCAGCACCACAGTTCAAAGGCCTCAATTCTTTGGTGCTCAGCCTTTCTTATGGTCCAACTTTCACAGCCATACATTGCAACTGGGATGTTTAGGTAGCTTCTAAAGCCACAGAGACTTGCTACCAAAGTGAATGGATGAGGCCAGATCACAGAAGTGATAAGACAACAAGCTGAGCGAGTATAAAATTCCAATTAAATAAATGCACATTTTGATACATGTGCCTGTTGGCTTAAAGAAGTAATAATAAAACTGGTTAGATCAAACCTTTGTGCAGTATTTACTGCACTACGAATTTTCCTGTAGTTGTTTAGAGACTTTTGTCAATCTATTTCCCTGCTCATCAACTATTTTTTATGAGTGGATTATTTTAATGCTGGCATTGAGAAGGTCTCTTTTTATCCTCCCAAGTAGGCTTGGGAATCAGCAAGTCAGCAGAGTTTCAACTTCCTAGTTGTCTTCCTTGTTGCCAATTATGAGAATTTAGCTAACAATACTGAGAATGCTGGTTCTGGGCTGCCTCTGGGCTGTCATAGTTACTGATCAGTTATATATGGATGCTTCATTTAAATTACCTAGTGCTATTAGCTTTAATACATAAAGATAAACCTAGCAGCTAAAACCCATGAGAAAATTTCTGATCGTGTCTTTCTCCTTCCTCCAATGCAGCACCGTGAAAGTAGATCTTTTCTCAATTGCATATCTTAAAATGCAGGAACTGGTGAGTAGCTGTTTCACTGCTTTGTATCAAAGAGGACCTCAGGCTTATATCTAACAGCAAGGCAGAAGATACTGGGGGAAATGACTAGTGGACGAATAAGCCAATTACTTCAGAATTTCTAAGGCAGCTTTCTTCAATAGTGATGCCGTCCAGATGTGCAGACTTACAGAATTCTCAGTGATGGTTATATTGGCTAGACTCTAGAGAATTCTAGAAGCAAAGTCTATATATCTGGAGTGCATCCAAAATGAGGCAAAACAGGAATTCATCTTTGAATGAGCCACTCAAATCAGTGGTGAGGATTCATCAGTCTCGCTTTAATGATGAACCTAGTTCCTGAGCCAGTTTTTGCAGATTTCTACTCAGGGCCAACTAGTGGTATCTTTCTGATTCAATTTCAGTGTATCAACCCAAAAACCTGGTCCATTATACTCTTTTTATGCTCCTGCAGGTTTCTTGTTATGTCAAAGAGCAGCTGAGCAAGATTGACAGTGGCATGTCCCAATTAACAGCAGAAAGTCTATTCCAACTTTATCTCAGCATGAAGGACTTCTATCACATGAAGGATTTTGTGTGCAGCAGGTGTTTATCTCTGCAGAGGACAACACTTTGCCTTCAGTCTTTAGGCTGTTTTATACATTATGGTTGTTGTTTTGAGATTACGCTTATAATGTATTGTTGTCATTGAATCCTCAGTGCCAAAACTGGCCTGATTCACTAACAAAATGTGGTTTGTTTGGGTTTCAGTTAGTGTGACTTGCAAGCACTGCTTAAGCATAGTGTGCTGTATAGCCTAATTATGATTTATTCGGTAAAATACTATTAAACAAGCAAATAACAATAGCACTTAGATACCGCTTCACAGTGCTTTACAGGCCTCTCTAAGCAGTTTACAGAGTCAGTCTATTGCCCCTAACAATCTGAGTCCTCATTTAATTCACCTTGGAAGGCTAAATCAACCTTGAGCCTGGTGAGATTTAAACTGCCAAATTGCAGGCAGCCAGAAAACGGCAGAAGTAGCCTGCAGTACTGCATTCTAATCACTGCACTACCACGGCTCTTGCTTAGCATGTGGTGTGAACTCTTCTGTAGATGAATTGCTGACTGTTTATAACCAATGAGGATTTGTTGAGACAGATTTGTAATTGGTCACCACAACAAAAATATCCTCTAGAGAAAAACTAAGTTGAATGTTTGGGAAATAAGAAATAAGTTTCTCATGAGATACAAACAACTTTTATTTCCTATTTCCAGGGATACCCCTCTGGCATTGACTGGTTTCCACCTATGGTTTAAAGAAGCCATCCCCTTGTGGCTACAGAAGACCTACACAATAGCTCTAGAAAGGACCCAAAGAGCCATCCAAGTGGACCAGGTAATCCCACTCAGAAAGGCAAGCATTGCTCAATTGTTTTATCTTCCCTGTGTTCCTTGGAAAAGGTTTTTCTGCCTTCATACATTTAATCATTGGTGTATATTATGTAGCACCTTCATAGTAGCCTCTGATACTACCATCACTTAATTCTGCCTGTGGATTAACAAGTAGGATAAGATAGGATAGTAAAGGATAGGATAGGATAGGATAGGACAGAACAGAACAGAACAGAACAGAACAGAACAGAACAGAACAGAATAGAATTCTTTATTGGCCAAGTGTGATTGGACACAAAAGGAATTTGTCTTTGGTGTATATGCTACCAGTATATGTAAGGAGAATAACATACATTCATCAAGAATAAAAAGATACAACACTTAGTCAAGGTTACTAATAAACTATCAAATCGTATTAAGAAACAATAAAAACAATATAATTGAAAGATACAATAAAATGGTTATAGTAATAAGTTGGCAGAGATAGTACTAGTAAGGAAGAGAAGAAAAATAGTAATATAGTCTTAGTAAATTATTTGACAGTGTTGTGGGAATCAGTTGTTAAACAGAGTGATGGCATTCAGGGAAAAACTGTCTTTGTGTCTAGTTGTTCTGGTGTGCAGTGACCTATGGTGTCATTTTGAGGGTAGAAGTTGAAACAAATTATGTCCAGGATGTGAGGGGTCTGTGGATATTTTCACAGTCCTCTTTTTGACTCGTGCAGTATACAGATCCTCAATGGAATAAAAGTTGTGAATTACATTGTGTGTATAATTTTTGCAGATAAGCAGATATCTTAATATGAATGAATGATTTGCTAGCATATCTTAATCTACTCTGACACCTGTGGTTGGCAATTATGGAATTATCTGAGTAATAATCCAGCAATGAATTTAGCAATTTGAGTTTACATCAGATCCATGTAAGATTCATTGAGTATATATCAGGACCTTTCAACTAGTTGCTGTGTTCACATAGGTGGCACAAGCTAATTATCATTTCATGATGCCTATGTGGTTCAGATAAAGCCACAACGCTACTTTAGTTACGCAAACTGATGTTCATTCTTATGAGATATTTTAAAAGAATATTGTTCAACTCAGATAATTGTCAATTATTGTTTCTATACTTTGACTCTTTCACCTTGAGATTTCTCAAACAACAACAGAAAAGATGGCATGTTTTTTAATATAATATATATATTAATGGAAGGTAAAAAAAAGTGCAAAGATGCTTTCCCCATACGCATACTGGAGGCCTTTGTAGCAGAAATGTTACCCTTTCAGGCATCTCCACACAGAATTGCTATGCAACATTTCTAAAAACAAAACAAAACACCCCAAAAGTCTGATTGCTCCACATACTGATCAAATTGAAGATACAATGTTCTGGGTCAAGTTATTGAAAGAAGGGAAATTCAAGTGTTAAAACACCATTGTCTGTCTAGGATATTCAGGGTCCCAAAAATTCCAACCAAAGCCAAAAGCTCATCCTGTAACATTCCAGATTAAATTCTGACCTGATGTTGCTCCCTTTCTCTGGTTTCATTTCTATTCAGTTGACACCACTGGGAGAATTGAATAAACACAGTACATCCATTGTTGACCTATCCACTTGCTATGCTCAGATGGTGAAGACATGGCAACAGCTGGATTGGCCTGACCCTGAGGAGGCCTTTATGATCATGGTGAAATTTGTCGAGGTATGAGTAGAATAAGGAAGATCAGATCATTCTAATCTGTGCCAGAAGTCACTTCTGTCCCACTTTGTATTAAGCCTAAGAAAATTCGGTATAAAAATCAGATCGTCTGTGATCTGGGTACTTGCCATCATTATTTCTGGATGGGGTAGAACTTGCTGCAATTGGAGCAACTTCTGGACTCCATGTGTCTGAAGAACAGATTAAATCTGTGATTAGGAGTACCTTTGCAGAAATTCAATTTGTGTGTGAATTGCACTTCTTCCTGCATTGGGAAGCCTTGTTCATGGTCACTTACACTGGTCATTTACACTTACAACTTACAAGTGACCTGTGTAAGCTCATGTTCACTTATACTTACATGGTCACCAGAGGTGGGTTGCTGCTGGTTCGGCCCATATTGGCCGAACCAGTAGTAGCAGTGGCGGGAGGCTCCGCACCCATGCATGTGCAGAAGCATTGCACGCATGCACGAGCGCACACTGGAGCATGCTCGAACCGGTAGTAAAAAGATTAGCAACCAACCTCTGATGGTCACTTACTCCACTAAGTTCATGTTTACTTAGTCATTTCTTCTCCAAATTACTTCAATATGCTATACAAAGGTTTGCTTTAGAAAACTTCTTGGAATTTGCAGCCGTTCCTGAATACGATGCCAGAGGTAGTTATGGGTGTAATTCAGTATGACCATATAACACCACCACTTTGTGAGATATGTTGGCTCTGATCAAGACTTCTGGGTGCATTTCAAAGCATAGTTTTTTTACCTATAAAACTTTTCATGGTACGGAGTTATTTACAGAATTGCTTGTCTACATTTCTGTTTGTCTCACAAGAAACAGTAGAGTGGTCATGACCATTAGATATTAGAAAGAAGGAAAAATTGGTTTTGCAAGTCCAGAGCTGCCATTCAGGGGAGAAGTCTGGGTCAGCTGCCAAGACTCACCTCCTCTCCTCCGCAAGCTGAAGAAACTACAAAGCTAACAAGCCATGATTAATTGCCGGGTGGTTTTTGCTCTGGAACTATAAAAGATGGTGGGAAGCACAGGGTGGCAGCTCTGACAATTTATTCATTGCCTTAGTGCTTTGTTGGTCAGTTTGTGTCAGTTGGTCAGTTTGTGTCAGTCTGTTTCTGTGTTTGGCTGGTTTCATTAACCCTTCGGAACCTGACAATTAATATGATTTTTACTATGCTTTCCAAAAAATTGTATTAGTCTACTGAATATTATGATTGTGCTCAAAATCTTCTAAAATATTATTAGTAATATGTCTTCCTTCCAGAGATTTTGTATTGCACAGGGATGAGATAAGTGGAATTATGTTTAATTAAAGACTTAATATATTCAGGGAATGTGCCAATCAAGCAACAACAAAAAGTTATGTTATTTGTCCTTCACTCCCCCTATTTCCCCCCCCCCCGAAGAACAAAAGACAAATTTGTTTTCTTAGAGTGGGGGGGAGGAGACTCAGGTGGAATTGCAGCATTAGAAGATTAGAACCTCTGAATTCAGAGCTTGCTTCATTCCACTTGTATGACTCAGTCATCACTGAAGCTTCCTTACAGAAGAATCAGCTGTGATTGACCATATTGTACATTGTAGGGATCAAAGGCAGTCAAGTGTCCTTGGAGGATGAAGCGAAGCCTATGGCATTGACCGATCAGTGACAGTTTTCTCTTTCCTGACTTCTTAGGACACGTGTAAAATTGCTCAGATGTACTGTCAGATGATCAAAGCAAGGGCAGAGGAATTGTCTTCCAATCAAAGCGAGGCAGGCCAAGCAGCAAACAGGGTAAGTGGGAGAGCCAGATGTTGGGTACAAGAAACAAGGTTGAACACAAGGATTGACTTGATTCTACTTTCCTCCCATTCTCCAGCTTTGTGTTGTGGTGAACAACATTGAGCAGCTCCGGATGATGATCCTGAAGTTGCCCAAACAGCTGAACTGGGCATACTTGGAGCAGAACACTGGACCTGTCATTACCCCAGAGCAGATCCAGCACACACTGCATCAACAGCTTCAGGCTTCTGTTTCCTGCCTCAACAATGAGATCCGAGGAGTGGTGCAGACTCTGGCGATCAAAGTAACCTCACAGGCTTGGTCTTCCGCTTTTCCTTCAGCAGTAGAAAAGGGTCAGGGGAGGAGCATGTCAGGGGCAAAGTATCACCCCACATCTGTTTGGGCTGCTTCATATAGGGAACTTCTGGCTCTTCAGAGAGGTCTAGGACTGTTTGCCTTATACCCTTCGCCGCCCCTTATTTGCCATCCGGGTTCTGCCCCCAGCCATTAACCCCTACCATTTGTCCTCCATTGATATGACCCTAGCTGTTCACTCTGGCCAATGGGCCCGAGCCTTTTCCATCTCAGGCCCTTTGTCATGGCCCATTTGGTGAAATATTGTTCACCCCGGGCTTTTGGGCCCACAAGACAGTTCGCCGCCAGCCATTCGGAGGAAGAGGGCAAAATGCAAAGGGTTTTCCAGCAAGGGAGGGGAATGCAAAGGGTTTTCCAGTGGGGCAGGGATATGTAAAGGGTTTTCTAGCTTGGACCCGAAGCAACTGAGTGGAGAAACAAACCCCGGAGAGGAAACTCTTCACGAAACACTTTCCTCCTCCCCCTCTGTCTCTCTTTTTCCCTTCCCTTCCTCCAATTGGCTGGTGGCAAACTGTCTTGTGGGCCCAAAAGCCTGGGGTGAACAGTATTTCGCCGAATGGGCCGTGATGAAGGGCCTGGGACAGAAGAGGCTGGGGCCCATTGGCCAGCACAAAGAGCTAGGGGTGTATCAGCGGAGGACAAATGGTAGAGGTTAATTGGATAGGGGTGGCGAACAAGGGGTGGCGAAGGGTACGAGGCGAACAGTCCCACTCTGCTTGAGAGGCCAAACTCACTGAGTTCTTATGCTTCTGAGAAGTGTGGGTCAGGGATATTGGAATGACAGACCGTGGGGAAGACATCCATGCCAAAACAAAGGCCCTTATAAAACAGAAAACAACAGGATTGCTTCATTTCAGCGGGAGGGGAGGGTTATCTGGCCACAGCTGGTCATTGTTAGCCTTCTCTGCATACTAAAGGTTCAAGAAGCCAATCAGCCAATGATGCCCTTTCCTACCTTCTCCCATTCCATCCTTTACCCCTTACAGATCATTAGGCTTTACACCAGAGGGAGTCCTTGACTTATAACCATTTGTTTAGTGATATTTTGAAGTTACAACGGTGCTGAAAAAAGTAACTTATGACCATTTATCACACTTATGACCGTTGCAGTATCCCCATGGTAAAACATGATCAAAATAAACATATGTATGATCCCCGTTTGTAACTTTCCCAGCTGCCTTCGGACAAGCAAAGTCAATTTGGGGGAGGGGAACCAGATTCGCCAAATGACTGCACAGTTCACTTAACAGCTGCAATGATTTGCTTAACAACTGTGGCAAAAAAAAGTCACAAAATGGGGCAAAACTCACTTAAAAACTACCTTACTTAGCACAGAAACTTTGGGCTCAGTTGCGATTGTAATCCGAGGATGATCAGTACCAGAATGCTTTAAACAAGTTGCTGAATTCACCAGGCTGTTGTACATGAATCTCGATTCTGTAGAAGGAATTCTGTCTGCAATGGTATATGTGGCATGTGACAATGGCATTGGACAGAACAGAGAGAAAACTCATATCTTCTATCTTAAATGTTCCAGGAGTTTAAATGCATGGACAGTAGAATAGGATAGAGTAGGATAGGATAGGGCAAGGCAGGACAAGGCAGGGCAAGGTAGGACAGGACAGGACCTTGGAGGTCCTCTAGTCCATCCCCCTGCTCAAGCAGGAGACCCTATACCATTTCAGACAAGTGACTGTCCAGTCTCTTCATAAAAACCTCCAGTGATGGAGCACCTATGATTTCTGCAAGCAAGCTGCTCCACTGGTTAATTGTCCTCACTGTTAGGAAGTTTCTCCTTAATCTCAGGTTGCTTCTCTCTTTGATTAGTTTCCATCCATTATTTCTTGTCCTGCCCTCCGGTGCTTTGGAGAATAATTCAACCCCCTCTTCTTTTGTGACAGCCCCTCAAATACTGGAATACTGGTATCATGTCACCCCTAATTCTTCTTTTCTTTAGACTAGCCAAACCCAAAACCTGCAGCCGTTCTTCATATGGTTTATTCTCCAGGCCAGTGTGAAATATGAATGGCCCAGCTATAGATTGTTCCCACAAAAATCTCTAAGATGCAGTATGGAATGCCTGAAATGATGTAGATATGAATGGCTTAGCACTTTTAATATTTATACAGTGTTATGTTTCTCCTTAATGGCATTAAAAGCATGTGTGGTTCTTTTTTTGGCAGATGGATGCTAGAATTGCCCAACACATCCAGCAACTGTCTGTTTGCAGTGATAACCCAGAGGATGTGAGTATTTAATTGCTCACTAAATACTGTATATATCACTCCCCCCCCTTTACTTTGTTACTTTGTTACCTATTTTGGAGCCATAACAATAACCAATCTGCTACTCAAAACTGTATGTACTTCTCTGTTCTTTCATCTCTCCATAAAATATTATTATTGTTAAGACATCCCTTATTTTCCCTCTTTTATCTTCCTGGCTTTGAATCAGGCTAGATAAGGGGGAGAATCTGGTAATGCATTGATAAGAATCCACACTTGGGGAAACCCATATTCCACATGAGTTTGTGAAAAGGAGTTAAACAGTTAGTGTTCTACACTACAACAATTTGAAAATGGTTTAAAAATATTTGTTCACGGTTTCCACAGCATTCTATAGATTTTTATAACAGAATAATTGCACAATAAATATCTCGATCTGAAAGCATCCAGAAGGAATTTGGATGAGTAATCAGCATATAATCAACTTAAAATGTTATGCTGGCCATGTTATATTCACCTGCAGCGAGCCTTTTGTGTTTCTTGTGTGGTGTTCCTTGAACATTTCATATGTAATAATTTAGTTTCATAGCTGATAAATGTTATTTCCTGTCACTAAATTTTTTGTGGATCTTTTTCTGCCTCTTCTAGTGCATCACACCTTTAATGAAATTCTTGGAATATGAGCTTCAGTATCTAAATATGAACCTTGTCCAGGAGAATTTTAACAGGTAAAGTCAGGATAAGGAGGTGACATAAAGAGGGAAATGGCTTTTGCAGAGATGTCTTGCCATGCTATGAATTAGGGATCATAATTGGCACTACCTAGGGGCCATGATGGCAAACCTATGCCAAGAGGTTTCTTAAACCTCTAGGAATTGGAAACTTACTAAACCGGATTGTCTTCCTTTGTATATATTTGCCCCCAACTAATCTTTCTTGAGATTGTGTGTGTTAGAATATAGAACCTACATTATAGGTGGATTAATGGATGTGAATTAGGAAGGAGGGATATATTTTAATTACTATATTTTTTTAATGCAAACCTTTGATACCACATGTTTGAAACAATACACCCTGTAATTTAGCTATCTTTCCAACGTCATTAGTCTCTAAATTTTGCAGTGCAATTTAATTATGAAAAAGTTATGCAGAAATGAGAACACTGGTAGCAAAATCTGCATTCATTACCGGTAGATAAAATTGCAAACAAAAATCATATATTTGGAGAAATACTGCCTCCAAAAATTATATATTTCTCAACACCAAATGAAGAAAATAGCTCAAAATAGCAGGAGTGGGATAAATGGAACTTAAAAATGCAATGAAGATAAAACAATGTAGACAGATTTCTAAATATTAAAAATGGAGAAAAATTAAATTTATAATCCACTTATCCTTAATTTGAGCAGCTTCAGTTCAGCCCCAGGGTCAAATGTGCTAGGCTTTCCCGAGTCCTAGTAAAAGTGCCTTGTCTAGCAATCTGTTGTACATCTCTACGTCTTTTGGTTCTTCCCAAACAGTCTTCTGGAGCTTCTGTGGAATCACACCTTGGCCTTGCTAAAAAACGCTACAAAACAACAAGTTGGAAAATTGGACTACTTTACGAAGTTTCAGTTTGCCCTCCAGGTACTTAGGGATGTAAAGTGAAACCAAGAAGGAAGGGCATGACTTATGCCATGCTCCAATGTCCTGCTGCTTTCTCTCTTTTTCTCCATCTCTCCCATAGAGCTTGGAACTTTGCTTTCATGGAGAAGGCTGTGGACTATCCAAAGATGCCCTTCGCACACCAGCTTTTATAGTAAGCTACTGCAACCTTTGCTACCTTTATGACAAGCCTGTGCAACTTGTAAAGGGGAAGGAGCCACTCATGGATAAATTAAAAATCCTTGTGGCCCCTGGAGTAATAGCTGGCATGCCAATCAGCTGTTTGGTGGCTAGTGAAACCAGGGCAACCTTGGAACTGGCAGAAGTGATGAGACTTGTAGGTATTCTGCAGTGTGCCTTTTAAACCAGCAACAGCGATGGCAATGAATTTATTACTTTTTAAAAAATGCCAGTGAGCCATTTGGAGCTGCTTGGCCAGCCATATACTATGCTGGCCTGCTTGACAGAAAAACCTCTGAGCAACAGGTACTCTAATAGTGACCAAATGTTGGCTTTATATATCTAAATACATTTTAAAAAATAGCACTTAATCTACCTTTTCTGTCCATTCCTGCATCAACCTACCTTTGCATACAAAACCCTGGCATGAACTTCCCATGTGTTCCCAGCTACCTCACATAACATTAGTACATAAGGGCCAGAAATACTATTAACATCTAGCATCTATTAGCTAGACACAAACAGGTTTTTTTTAAAAATGAAGATTCTGGCTTATACAAAAGTTGCCCACTTGTGTTGTGGCATCATGTATGCTGCCCTGTCAGGATTTCCATCCTGTTCAAACAATGGATCGAGTTCACATGTGAAGTGGAAGGAAAGCTTTTGTGCATTTTGAAGATGCCACTTCATTTTAAATAGTGTTAAGGCAGAGGTAATCTTCTGTGAATGGAGCAAGGAGGTCATGTGTACTGTAGCTATAAATGTAACTGTCGATTGAAATTATCAGAATCATTGGGCAAAAGTATTTACCTCACACTGATGTTAAACATAAACATGCTGATAAAATGGATAAAATAGGGGTTCCCAAAAGCTCATTGACTTTTTCAGGAAGTTTCAAATTGTTCATCAACACACACACCCCCCGGCAATTTATTATATGACAATAATTTAATAAACACTACTTTAACGAATAGAGTGTCTGTCTGGTGTAGTAGTTAAGACATCAAGCTAGTGTTCTGACCCAGGCTTCCTTGGAAAGCAAGAAGCAAAGTCTTGAACCCGATAAAACCTCTTTTATTTAGATGACTGTGAATTCCTTTCATTCATAGTCAGCAAGGCTTTAGCAAACAGTATTTCAGAGGAATGTTTATCCACCCGCACCTTATCTCATTTAGAACGCTGCCAGATAACTAGTTTCCAAACACAAGGCAAAGCAAAACTTGGCACAGACAGAACTTTCCAAACCAAATGAACGAATTGTTGCCTGCAAAATCCCACTCCCCATTCGTTCCTCTCTTGTTTCCTCTGGGAGGGACCAATCACCTTCAAGGTGTGGCTTTACTCTTAAGTGGACCCTGCTTTCTTAGTTGTTCTTGTATTCTGGAAGCTCTGCGCATGCACACACTGGGAACAGGCTCCAGCTGTTCTTCTGCCTCACTGCTGTCTAAAACCCTCTCTGCCTCCAATGAAGAGTCCTTGTCTGAGCTTTCCTCAATCCCCAGGACTGGTCCATGTTCCTCCCCAACCTCCTCACTGTCCGACTGCTGCCAGCTCTGCTAGCGGGCCACAACAGCTAGAGACTGGGAGACTGTACATTCTAATCCCCTGCCTTAAGCATGTCGTAAACTAGGTGACCTTGAGTCAGTCATTCTTTCTCAGCCCTAGGAAGGAGACAATGCAAATAACTTAAAGCACTAAGCATTACCTGGTGTCTTGCGACCATTCCCCCACCCCCCTGGCTCTACTCGATCAGGGCCTCTTTGCAGTGCAGCCCTCCCCCGCCTTCTTCTGCGATTGCGGAACCTTCTTCTACCACCTTTACCATCTGGCTCTCTCTGTTTATTTTGTTTATGAACTTGGACTCTCGGACTTTCAGATCTACGCCCCTACTCCTTTTTTTGCGACTACGACTGCCCACCGCTTTCCCAAGAATATTACTCCAACTATCAGGGGCATCATTCCATCTGCCTTCTATCTTACAATCGCCCACCCAACACGGTTCCCTTTGACTTTGGGTGCTTCTCAGGACTTGAGGAAGGGAGAGGGGCGGAGCAGCTCTCCCTCCTCCTTCCGCACCATTGACTATCTTAACCGTACTTGCGCAGTGCTCTGCACATTTTAGGAATGTAGTGTGAATGGTGGGCCTGGCTGATGTTTGTACCCATCTTTTTAACCTCATATTGTTGTATTATTTGTGTTTAATTAACATACGTGAGGAATGCATGGATGACTGGCTGTGTATGTATGTGAGGACTGAGAGTACAGCCTGGTGCCTCCTCCACTGAGAGCTATTGCAGAAGTGTTAGGGGGCCCAGGCCTACCTCGCGTCCCAGAATGAGTGACAAAAATCGCCTGCCGGATGGAGCGG